ACTATAAAAATATATATTTTTTAATTATTTTATCAATTAATTCATTAAATCTATTCATATATAAATATATTTTTTTAATCTCTAAACTTTTAAATTGATGGATGAAAAATATTATATATTATTAGTTGAGAAACTAAAAATATGCATCTTTAAATAGACTTAATAACAAGATTATCAATATCATTTTGAATAAACCAGTATGATAATACCTATCGATTTTAAGTTTAATCCGAAATAGTACAAAATTAAATTTTGTTTTGGTCAAATACTAGTCATTTCAATTAAATTTCAATGTTCCAATCCATATTTTGGTGTACTAGCTGGTGCATTGAAATCTTATTGGTATGAGTTTTTCTTTCTTTTTTTTGTTTTTTCACAACATAACACTTATCATATCGATGTCGTAAAAGTATAGTGATTTTTTTAAAAAAAATATACCCACTAATATACTTATCTTTTATCAACAAAATATATCTATTTTTCTAATATATATAATCGTGATTCGATCTCAAATTATTATTACTTTTGATCAAATAGATCATATCATTATTTAATTAGATTTAAATTTTTTTAAAAAAATTTAAATCAATTAAAAATTTTATTATAATAAAAAGTACAGAAAATACTCTACTTATGATTTTAAAAACACATTACCAGATACCACCAAGGCACACCAAGTCAAATCAAAACAGAGAGGATTGAAAAGATGAACAACAAAACTAGTTTATCGTAACTTCTAAATAAATAAATGTTTAATTTTTTTAATTGTGTTGGGTTTAGATTCAAATAAATATATAAATCTTTATAAATAAATGTCAATTACGTTGATAAACTATTTTTTGTCAATATTATAATATTAACATTTCACGAGTTTTGTCACTTTGAATATGTTTTTAATTTCTAAAAATTAGTTTTTTTAAATGTTAAATTTTCTTATACTCATTAAATATTATTTCATAGTTATATATTCACTTTATATAAAAAATATATTTATAATAATAAAATTGAAATAATATATAAAAATTTTGATATTTGGTGTGTACTTTTCAATAGTAAAATTAGTATGCATATCAATACAATATTAATAATCTTATTTAATGAACTAATTGATAAAATAATTAAAAAATATATTTTTTATAATTTAGTAACAAAAAAAATACATAAAAAAATTGAAGGATGAAAACTATTGCAAAACCCTGAAGTTTAGAAGCTAAAATTGGCATTTAACCTTTAACTGAATGGCAAGATGATTGATTTACCAGTTACGAAATTTTTCAAGCGCAGATTGATCTACATGGGGATAAATCAGGTTTCTTGTCATCTCATCCTCAGTCTCCTCTACCCTCACTTCACCATTTTGATGCCATAGAACCATTTTTTCCGTTCAAGAACCAGTATGAATCCATAGATCACCTCATGAAAGCTGCAAAGGTTGATTAGTCACGTTTGCTTCAACAAACTATTTGCCACCACAGGCCAAGCAACTGGTCTTTCTCTGTCTCATGGGCATACTCGGCTCATATATATGAAAGTATCATCCCTCGAAGTGTTCTAAGGCGACCACTTGAGACATTTTCTCCTTGGAAGAGTGATACGCCTCCTCTCTTCATCTTCAACACACGTTGGCTATCTAATGATCCATGTGAAGCTCCTCATGTATTTTTCTTGGACTCAGTTCAGAAAATGGAGAACAATCTAGTTCTTACTACCTATAATAGAACATCAGCACGAAATCTGCCTCCTTGTTTGTTTACTGGCAATCATTCCGCGGATTCTGTCACCCAGGGAAGTGAGTGTTTATATTTCATAAGCCAGCAAGTGCTGGTCTCAAAAGTATCAGAAAGAGCATTTTTTGCTTCTCTTTATACTGATTTTATTTAGCAGGCTGGAATAATAGAATGCTGCGATGTGGAATATGTAGCTGGAACAGAGGTTGCAGCCATCAAGTTAAGAACATGTAGGAAGGTGAGTTATGGCCTAGATGAGCACCTCACGTTGTGGAAAAAAGATGGCAAAAACACAAGATGAAGGTCTAGGATAGTGATCCTGCATTTGATGTACTTGCAATTATAACCTCTATGTGATGTTACGTTTGGATAATCTTTTTCTTTAAGCAATACATAACTATATACTACACCATAATGTCATATTATTCATATTTAATAAAGGGAATGAAGAAGAATTAGCTGACTGCATTGAAGCAATTTACATCATTAAAGTCATCTATACCATCCCCAGGCCTTCATACTCAAGCAACAACATCAATCACATGTTCCCTGTTACTGCTGTTTTTCTTCACAGGATCAACACCTTATCTTTGAAATCAGATGATTAATTGGTGTAAAAAGAGAGAAAAACTGGGGAAAGAGGAAGGAGATTAAAGGGAGACATCTAAGCAATAACTTCGCCCTTCCTACAACCTCTTAACTTGATCTCTGCAACTTTCATGCCAGCAACATATTCAACGTCGCAGCATTCTATTTTTCCAGCCTGCACGAAAGTCAGTAAAAAGATCAAAAACCATGATCGTTTCCTTCTAAATATATTACTTTCAACCATATAAGAAAAAGACTCACCTCCTTAGACAAAATTGCCTCAAAAAGAACTCGAATCTGTGTGATAGCATCTGCCGAGTGATTGCCAGACAATGAACAAGGAGGCAGATTACGCGGTGATGTTCGATTATATGTGGTAAGGACTATGTTCTTTGCAAGCTTTTCAATGGAATCCAAGAAGAAGACATGAGGAGCTTCACAGGGGTCTTTAGGAGGCCAAGGCCACCTAGTGTTGAACATGTAAAATGGAGGCGTACTTCTCTGCCATGGCACAAATGTCTCGTGAGGTTTCCTCAGAATGCTTCTAGGGATGATATTTTCGTAGATATAAGCGGAGTATCCCCAGGAAACAGAGAAGGACCAGTTGCTTGCCTTGTGGTAGCAGATGGTCTGTTGCAGCAACCGTGATTGATCAACTTTAGCTGCTTCCATGAGTTTAGTTATAGATTCATAGCGGTTCTTGGAAGGGAAGAGAGGATGAATGGTATCAAAATGATGAAGTGTAAGGAGAGGAGATTGAGGATGAGATGATAGAAGACCTGATATATCACCATGGAGATCAATCTGCAAAACTCAAAAAAATCACTCAAGCTATTCGCAGTCATGCGTGAATGAACTTGTTTTGAAGTGCACAAACATACCTGGTGGAAACCTTTTTCCTGAGTTAGATGAACACCCAAATCAGCCAAACATGAGGAACAGAGATAATCACTCACCATCATATATGGGTATCTCTCAATACACTCATCTATTGTTGGAACCAGAGCTTCCACCAAAGGATAGCTCAGAGCATACCCTGCTCCACCAAATCCCATGTCAAAGGAGAAGTAAAAGTTGGACTTAATGCATTCTGAGTTGGTTCCTATGTAATGATATTCAGTATGATCATATTTTGACAGCACTTCAACTAAGTTATCCACGAAGACCAGGCTGTCATCATCCACCATTACATACCATCTCACATCTTTGTTGTGTTGCAGTCTGAATGCATCCAGTATTGAACGAAAGAGTCGAACTTGAATAGGGCTCTTCAGTTTATGGAACACTCGTAGTTTGGCAACGTCTTCATTGACAATGAAAGGAGGAGAAGATGAAGGCCAGGGCAGCAACTCTGGCGAGGGTGGAAAATCCAAGAATATGTTTCCTCTGGTTTGGTTTGGTCGCCACCATGCTTCAATGTAAGGTTTTCTGTGCTTCCATGTTTTTAACGAACCTACTAATACAAACATAATGTGGCTGATATTGGTAGGAGAATTCACCGGCGAACTACTGGGGATGGAGGAAGCTGACCATTTGAGCTCAAACTGGCCGAAGAGAGTAGAAGCATCTTTACTGGGGAACCCATACAAGAATGTGTAGAAGACGAAAAGGACTAGACCTGAAATGGCAACTGATTTGCATAGCATTACAAGAGAGAGGTTGTTGAAACTTTGCTGCATTGGAACTGCATCAATGGTGCAAGCAGACGCGGTTGCTAAGTAAAGGAAGAAATTGATTGATATGAGAATGGAAAAATTGAAAGTATGAGATTTGCTGAAATGAAACAAGTTATCCATGAGGATAATTCTTGTGGCGAAGAGAGATAGATGTGCAAAATGATTTATATAGAGTTGGTGTATATTGCTGAAATAAAACAATCATGTGACCAAAGCAACTTTTTGTGCATTTAACGCACTATCTAGTGAATTTTGCATGTTTTGGTTCTTTTAACGCACTAAAGAGAATTTGGCATTGGTCTCGTGAAATGATTCAGGTATCAGTTTAGCTCTTCATGCAAATTTCAATAGACTGAACACATGATATATGTTATTGAATGAGATCAAGATGAAAAATCAAGTGAAAACTGTTTGCTTAGACATGATACGGATGTGTATTTGTATCCAATGAAACCTATGATGGATCGTGTGACTCGCATGGAGAAACAAAATGCATTTCCAAACTTTTGAAACTGACAACAAATCAAGCCAACGCAGTGCCCTCCTCATGAGCCTTCTGGATTCCTATCAAGCGAGCGTAATCGACCCACCTACCAGCGCAAATTGAAATTTTGGGAAGGGTGTGAGGGAGGGAAAAGATTAGCATTGCTAGTAAAGATTTAAGAGTATGGTATAGAATCTTACAATAGGGAACCCAAGTATGTGTTGCCAGTTCGGACAGCAAAGCAGAGAGCACTTAGTATAATCTTGTGTTGGTGTAGCAAGGGCTCCAAAATCCTTTGTTCGATTACACCAGCCAGCACTTGGTATCTATTCAAAATGTGAAAACCCTTATTAACCTAGGTTGGCTCACGAGGAAATACATGAATAAAGGCAAAAGCAATGTTGGAATGGACTAATATCCACCAAAGGTTCAAAATCTACGCACCTGAGGTTGCTTGAAACTGCCATATAGACACCATAGGCAACACTAGTGGAAAATATGGGCACATTTTCAACTTCAGCTGCAGAAGACTTATCAACAGCCTTCCTTGCATTGATTAAGGCATTTGTCACCGCCGTGCCAACCTAAAGGAGACTTGATTGCATTAGACTCCAGCATATCAGGGTTTAGGCTTTTAATTTAATGAATTGATAGTTATAAGGAGTAACAAACATAAATTGCTTACCAGTGATGAAGCGGTACCGACAGCAAAAAGCTTTGTCCCATTACGCTGCAGAAAACATATAGTGAATGTTAAATATACTGGTTTGTTCCTAAATCAGTTCTTAAGAAAGTTTCTATTAACAAAATGCAAGATGCAAAACAAAATCTTACCACTATTGCACCTAGTCTCTGCAAAAATGAATATGAAGTTCCAGGCATAGCAACCTGAAGAAAGGGTTTGATGATTAGATTGAGCTCTTAGGTTTGTGTCCTAGAAACAAATTTATCATTATATGGCAAAAACAGAAACCTGGAATGCATTATCAGGACAGCTGTAAAGGAACTTGGATATAGGTCCAGCAGTGACTGCAAGAGGAGGCCGGAGAGCAACAGTAGGCGCAGGAAGATAAACAAGCATGAAATCTGCAATAATGGCCATCACCTAAGGGAACAAAAACAAAATGTGTGTTTAAAATGATAGAGATACTGCAGAGTTCAGCATATAATGCAGACATTACACAGCTACATTTTGTTCAGAAACCAAAAAACAGAGACTTCTCCTGATAACTCTCTGACATTATTAATACAAGAATATAAGCATCTTTGCAGTTAATCTGAATTAAACAACATTAATTGCCCATTTAAAACATGGAATAAACAAATTAAAACACTTAAAAGGCTAACTATTCGCTGAAAAAAAAATGGCAGGAAATGGAAAATAAACATTTACTTGTGTACTTGGGAACACAGATATAATATTGAGTAAGGACAGAAATGGGGGGGAATCAATTCACAAGAATGACAATAAATCTGTCCTTTACATACTCCTAGTCTCCACTAATTGCTGGTGACCCCAGAAAGGAAAATATAAAACTGAGAAGTTTAAAATAATCCATTATGACATAAACAACCATACCACATCTGCAAAAACAATTTCAAACTCCTTGAAAAAGTTTTCTCTGCGACGATCATACTCTGCTGCAGTCTGGAAACAAACAAGGATAATACAGTTGAGTTTGATATATAATACTGAATCTGAATTAAAAATATATATATATTTAGAGAGAGCAATAATCATGGAAAACTAATGCCACAATCTTACGTTTTCCAATGTTGGACTTTCCTCATACTAATTCAAAATCCATGCATAACAATGTTTCCTTCTAGATAACTAGATTCAGCTGCTTAAGCCAAGACATGGTTAAGTTACTTTACTGTCTTATCCAGGCTCTGATGTCATGACTCATAGATTAAGAACATATAGAATTAAGAGGTAACATATCCACACAACGAGGCCACCATTTTCAAGTGTGCATAAAGCTTTCCAACCTGGTTCAGTTCTAAATTTAGCATTTTAAAGTTTTCCTTCATTTATGCATGATTCATATATTCTTAATACAGAAACCCCTTAAGTAATTACCTTAAATTTCTAAGCTTGATCTTGATGCATAACAGAAATAGATCCCTCTTAGAATGTTCTTCTCAGAAAAAGGGATGAATTTGGTACCTCCATATATACCACTTTGTTGGGAACAGAATAATTACTCATGCTTTCATGATTTGAAAGTATATTCCTTCCGATGCACATGAAATGATTCGCATCATTTAACTAAAAATTTTATATTTTGATCCTCAATTCCCCTTTGAAAGAATTCAGTCCCAAATTTCAAATGAAAAACACAAGACATGAAATTGATTCATTCCAAAAAAAAAAAGAAAAAAGAAAAAAGAAAAAAAAAGAAACATACCTTGGTGAAGATCCCAACACCACACTCCATACCAACCTTAGCCAAGAAAAGATCATCAGCGAGAAGCCTTTCCTTAAACCCACCAAACTGCATCAACCACCGCATAAGACCTGACTTCTCAAGCCCCAAAAACCTCTCAATCACGGCGGGAGGAATCTTCCCAGCTTGGATCGCAGCCGCCAAGTCTTTAGGCAAACTGTCCAACGTCCTCCCAGCCTCTGCCAGCAGCATCAACGACTCCTCCCTCCTTCTACCAGCATTTTCATCACCACTACTGTCTCCATTGCTGTTTTTCCCATCATCATTGTTATCACCGCCGCCGCCGCCACCACCAGAACTGTTGTCGTTACCGTTAATGAAGTCGTCCCCACCACCTGTAGCAGCAAGGAGGGTTAAGAAATGATGATCTTCCCGTTGGGGGTGGCGGAGAGTGGAGAAGGAAGTTGGAGTGGAGATGTAGCGGACATTGAGATGGAGAGGTAAAGGAGAGAACTTGGGGGTGAGTTTGGCCACAGAAGGAGAGGTGAACGTGGAGGTGGCGGGGGTGAAGAGACAGGCAGCGATGGACATTGTCGGGTGGCGGGTTCTCAGTTCTGATCAGAGCCTGGTCTCTTCTTCTCTGCTTTCTGTGTCTGTAGGTTGGAATTAGTTGCGAAATTAAGAGGAAACGAAAGCAGAGTGTTCTGATTTTACCAGGGTTTATGTTGTTGTCTAGGGTAAATAATTCCTTGCCCACCCCACTTTGCTTGATGTATAATTCACGTTCCCTTATTTTATTTTATTTTATTTTGGTCGTTCGTGCAAATAAAATTTAGAACCCTAATTTATAGTTTTTTTTTTTATTGATGGGAACTAATTTATAGTTTTAGTTCTATTGGATTATAAAAAACACTCTTTATTTATTTTTCATATATTTAATTTTTTTAATAAAATAGATACGTAACAATTTATTAATAAATTTTATTACTTATTTTTAATTAAATATTATTTAAATATAATATTTTATTTAATATGTATTGTAATTATTTTTTAAAATAAAAATATTAAATGACAATAAAAAATTTTAATTTATTAAATAAAAACAAAAGACATAAAAATTATTAAATAAAAAAAACTTAATATCAAGAATCTAACTTTTATGTAATAATCAATATTATACACTTCAATTAATCTACACAAT